TGTTTTCTAATCTTCTTCCTTCATCTTCTGTTAGTTTTCTAGTCTTCTCCTGTTATCTTGTTTCTTTTTTCTGATCTCTTCCCTTCGTCTTTTTTTGTGGTTTTCTAATTTTCTCATTTCGTCTTTATCTGTTTTATAATCTTCTCCCTTTATCTTCGTCTATTTTTTAACCTCTCATCCTCATCCTTCTTCTGTTTTCCATTCCACCCCTCCTCTTAAATTTATATTCTAGGCCAAAGCTTGATGAGGCCTGGGGTGATTTCTTAGTGTAATAGTAGCATGAAGTAAATACTCAGTGCGGGTGGTGGCACTGATTGTTTGCAATAGCAGTGTCATTAAACAACTGTGTGGTCATTTTACTGATGCATTTGTCAGATTAGACATGCATTCTGAGAAACTTGCCGCACACTCACGATTCAGTGATTACCTTTAGAGAATGTTTGTGCTTTTGTAGATAATCGCGGCAGGAGAGTCATGGACGGAAGGGGGAGATAACACAGTGGACTACCTGGAGATAAGTCACATGATAGACAGTGCCTTCGTCTTCCTGGGGGAAAAATCTGAAGAGCTTGCAGGTAAGGTCATGACGCTACTGTCTCCACACTAGTAGTAGAGATTTTACTGAGAACTGTCATTGTGATATGAATTATCCATTCATGAATAAATCAAAGGACATTTATAATTTGTGTCTTTCTCAAGGATCCACAGGAAAACCTAATGTGTAAGACTCCAACACACATATATACACACGTACAAACACTTAGACACACACAAACACATAAACTTACACAAACAAACAAATCGCATGCTAGTTCTTTTTTTTTTTTTTTTTTGAAATTGTCTATAATTGGCCATGCATATTAAGCCATGCGAATATCGTAAATTAGGAAAGAGCAGATAGAATGGCTGGCACATTATTACTGCAAAACACCAAACATTCAAAAGAAGCATACACCATGAACTCTTATAAATCGCTGGACAGAAATGGGCACTTCAAACTAGATAAAATCAAAATGAGTCAAATGTAACTGATCAGACTGAAGATATGGAAAAGATAGGAGGAACCATAAGAGGCGTTAGCCTCTCCGGGGCCTCTTTCCTTGACCCTTAATCTCTTCTTTGAGATCAGTACCCCTGGCAATTAAATGAAAACATGCGGAATGTAATTATGATAATACAGACTGAAGCGTATAACATTCCACGAAGGACCCATTCTCATACCATGGGGTCTGTTTGGCATATTGTCCTTTCGCCATTTTGATTTATATCTCAGGCTGTGGATTCTGCCTTCCCATGTGGGGTGGAGAAGAAAATAGATCCATCGCTTTCCTAACAAGCGTGTCGTAAAAGGCGACTAATTTGGGGTGTTTTCTTTAAAACCAGAGGGAATCTGCCTGAGAGGCAAGGAACCAACAGTCTGCATAAAAGATTTGCACAATATAGACACATAAACTTACAAACAGATGAAAAGTAAATGAGATTCTTCTTATCTGGACCTAGGATATGGGTTTGGGAGTGTCGCCGTCTCAGATAATTGTGAGAAATGAGCCTGTTACTGTAGCAGTTGGACGGAGAGTGACATTGTAGAACACGTCACGTGTTGAACAACAACAACTGGGAAACTGCCCACAAACATAATTTATTTCAGGTGCTGTTCTGGTCTATGTAAATTGTATTTATTTCCAATGCTAAATAATTACTGAACTTTTCATAGAAACATTTTATTCTATGCATGGAGAGACTAATGTACTTACAGACATATCAAAGCGTGATTAAATTGATCCTTGTACCGAAACAAATATTTAGGCCTTTTCTGATATCTTTGATATTATTTGATTAGTCTGCCAGTTTTCTGTATTCTTCTACAGGAAGAGCAATTGATGTTGCAGCAAAACAACATTCACGCCCATTCCCGCAACAGCCAGATATGACATCACAGCCACAAACAGCAACGTCTTCTACCTCAGAAACACACTACAAACTGTCAGCAGCGTCTCTACCGTCAACAGTAACATCCTACCCTGTTCATCCTGCAGGTTGGTCTAGCATGTCTGAGTGATTTATGCAGCCACAATAACTCTATTCAACCGCTTTACAGTACACGACCTCACAAACAAATATACCCGAGGAAAGCGCTGAGTGCTAAGATATTACTATATTCATGTTTAAAAGTTTTCATCCACGTCTATATTTTGTCAGGTAATGAAAGTGGCTGAGACTTATGAAAAGAAATCGATAGGCACATGACAAGTAGACAATCTACATTTGTTGGTTATGTCATGAGATTGATAAAAGTGGAGTACGTCGTGATGGTGCGACATTTGGAGGGGGAAGAGGTAGAGGAAGCACAGAGAAGAGATGCTAGACATTCTGACATCATGGCATGGAGGATCATCTGTGTCAGAACTGACTAAAAGTAGTACATGAGGCAGAAGGTTGTGAATAGACATGGACTGGGAGAAGAAGAACAAAAGTGGAAGCCCATTTTACTTGTCCAGTCTGTCGAGGATGCAAAGAGTAAAAAGATGTGGTCGTTTCCTGTATCTCAAAGTGAATTGAGCTCTGAAAGATTGTGACTGATTGTGTTTTCCCCCTGTCATCACTTGCAGTATGGCGTCATTGCCCGTAGTTACTCTTCGCAAGCTGTGTGTTTTTTTTTATTGCTTTTAAGAACAGGGGCGGGGGGGGGGTGTAGGGTGGGGGGTGTAGGGTGGGGGGGGGGAGTGTGGCTGAATGTGATACGAGGGGAATCATTGGATCCCTGACAACAATATCTCGGGTATAATTTTACTGCAGTCAGACATAAGAGTTCCTAAAGGCAAAAACGAACGCTGGGTTCCTACATGAGAGCAAAGAGTTAAAAAACAACAAGAACACAATTACAAGCCAGGCACAAATGACCCGTTGTATTGTAACCACGAACTCTGCCCAAGAGAACTAAAATATCACTCCAGATACTCCCTTATGGCGTCATTCAGGATTCTGATAAAACGGATTAACTGGACAGTCCTAGCGCTCCAACAGTAAGAAGAACTCCGCAGGGCAGCATGCACTGCAGGAACCAACGATCATCAGTAAAACAATCCCTCATCGACTATTGTTTCGGCCTGTTACTTCCTCTACAATCTCGAAAGGTGGGCCCTGGTTCATGATGCTAGGTCTCAAACTTCCTCTGCTGCACAGAATACAACACATTGCTAAGAACAGATGTGATACGACATATGCCATATATTCGTCTTGTCTTACTGACAGAAAGCTACTAAACTACAGTGCCACACTTCCCTCGCAATACCCGCGGTGTCGCAGTTACAAACTTTAAGTGGCCTGGATATTGTGCAATAGCCTTAGTCATTGTACTCAAAAATATTCATGTGCACTCATACGCCCTCTCACCTCCGGCTTACGTGCATACTCAAATGAGTCAGCACACAGACAAAAGTGGCCTATTGTGTTCTTAGTCTGAAGATAAAGCTCGAGTCCCTTTGTTGTCGGTTTTTGACACTGCTTTTACAGTTGAGCTGTAAACATGTTTTCCTAATGAGCGATTGATGTTGTATCTACAGTATGTCGATACAGCCATTGGCGTTTGGTGTTGTTAGTGATACGCCTTTTTGTCGGTAATAGCACATTTTTTATTTGTCATCTTTAAAACGTTGTATATTTTATTGCACAGACGAAACCCAACTGAAGTCGATTTTAGCCAGAATTGCTGTCATAGAAGAGGCCCTGTGCTCCTTCCGGAACAATGCAGAAAAAGTTGTTGAACATCAAAGTGGCGTTGATCAACAACTGAAGGAATTTTCAGAGTCAGACAAGAAGTACAATTCAATGTTCAGAAAAATGGAAGAAGAAACCATGAAAATTAGAGACACGCAGATTGAAAGTGATGAAGCACACAAGACAATATTACAAGGTTTGGAGAAACAACTACAGAAGTTGTCGGAGGCAGACAAGAGGCACAAATCAAAGTGGGACACATTTAAGGAGAAAAGCACAGAGACTACGACAAGACAAAATGCAATAAATAACAGAAATGAGACAAGATTGCAAAGTCTGGAGAAACAGCTGCACAAGTTATCTACGGCACAAGACAGAATGAAAGAAGAGATAGAAACTCAGACGGAACTGACAGAGAAACAGCTGCACAAGTTATCTACGGCACAAGACAGAATGAAAGAAGAGATGGAATCTCAGTCAGAACTGACAGAGAAACTGGTTCACGTACCTGATCAGCTGGAGTCTGTGAAAGAAAAGCTCGATGTATTCGATGATAGAATTTGTAGAATCATGGATGACTGCAGCAACAAGCATCAGGATATAGAACATGTAACACGTGACCTGACAGACAAGGTCATAGCCAGCATAGAATCTCTCCAGGTCATATCTGGAGATCAAGATCAGAAAACGACATTGTTAAGAGAACTGGAGACACGAATGCAGACATTGGAAGCAGACAGTGGGAGAAATGTGGAAGATGTCCAGAAACAGGTTGAGAAAGGGGAGACAAATGTGAGTATATACTTGTCACCAATCAAGTTGTTTTTACGTAAGATTATTATTACCCTGGGTGTGAAATTTAAGGGGGTGTTTGATGCGTCTGTCTTCTTCTGCCTCTCTGTGTTCTAGTCATTGACCATATTATACCTACAGACACATTGCTGGAGTGCAGTCGATCCTCTCCAGTCAATACTGTTCCATAATTTCTTTGTCTCATTTCGCTACCTGACCACATCTGGGAGTGCCGTCTTCTGTTACTACAGCATTTTTGAAGTTCAATATTTAGTGGAGACCACCCGGGGCTAAGGTTTCAGTGTGAATTTGGGGCTTAATGGGAAAGTTAAAGAATAAGACAAGAATGATCACAACAGCAAGAGTAAACAGCATGACTAGCTGGTGTAAAGAGATGAGTGTCGTCTTCAGCCAAACAAAGGTAAGTGTTTTGTAATGTTCTTTGTAATTAAAGTTCTGATGTCATTTTTCAGTTCCAGATCCTGTGTCAGATGTTAAACGATCGACTGACTCCGCTAGAACAACTTAGAACTTGTCTCAATGAAAGGGCCAGCACCCGAGATGAGAATATCAAACAGGTTCGTTTTTTCATTGAAAAAATTGATTTACTTAAAGGTAAAGCTGTGGTATGAAAACAGTTGAATTAAAGAAGTCAAAAATCTTTAACTGTTTGACAAAAATCGACTTTTACAAAATGTAATTCATTGTGTGGGTTCTGTAGCCCTTGTGTGCGTGTGTGCGTATGTGTGTGTGTGGGGGGGGGGAGGGGGGATTAATAGACCCACAACTCCCTCCCAAGCATGTCGTATAAGTCGACTAATTAGGAGTTTTTACTTCGAAGAGGAACTGCATCTGCCTGAGAGACGAAGAGCTGACAGTCTGCATACACATTAGTAAGGTCTGTAAAATGGATTAGCGTGCATAACTCAAGCTCTGGAGCACGACTAAAGTACAGAAGTGGACGAACAACTAAAACTTTACGTTGGAGTGTACCGCTGGTGTACGCACAGAGAAAAAGAGAACAACGTAATTTATTCGGGTAACAAGTTCTTATCAACTGCGGACTTCTTAACCTCAGTGAAAGGACGGAGAAAAGAATCTTGTGGACATGTAATCAGATCTAACGGTCTCTCAGAAAACAATACTACAGGGCCCATTCGAAGGGAAAAGGAGAAGAGGCAGACCAGGAAAGACCTGGATTGAGAACTTGACTGACTGGACAGGTCTTATCTATATAGTCGAATGGATCTGACCGTCAAAGGTGGAAGGAGCGGATCAGACAGTCAACAGCAACTCCAGACCCAACGACAAGCAGTGCCACATGATGATGATGAATAATAGCCGTTAGTCTGTCGATGTTCTCTCCCTTAGAACGGAAACATTTATACTTGTCATTCACGTCCGTGTCGATGTTCTCTCCCTTAGAACGGAAACATTTATACTTGTCATTCACGTCCGTGTCGATGTTCTCTCCCTTAGAACGGATACATTTATACTTGTCATTCACGTCCGTGTCGATGTTCTCTCCCTTAGAACGGAAATATTTATACTTGTCATTCACGTCCGTGTCGATGTTCTCTCCCTTAGAACGGATACATTTATACTTGTCATTCACGTCCGTGTCGATGTTCTCTCCCTTAGAACGGATACATTTATACTTGTCATTCACGTCCGTGTCGATGTTCTCTCCCTTAGAACGGATACATTTATACTTGTCATTCACGTCCGTGTCGATGTTCTCTCCCTTAGAACGGATACATTTATACTTGTCATTCACGTCCGTGTCGATGTTCTCTCCCTTAGAACGGATACATTTATACTTGTCATTCACGTCCGTGTCGATGTTCTCTCCCTTAGAACGGATACATTTATACTTGTCATCCACGTCCGTGTCGATGTTCTCTCCCTTAGAACGGATACATTTATACTTGTCATTCACGTCCGTGTCGATGTTCTCTCCCTTAGAACGGATACATTTATACTTGTCATCCACGTCCGTGTCCGTGTGATTCCCCCCCCCCCCCCCCCCCCCCCCCCCCCCCCTTTAAAAAAATGAGGAGAAATCAACTTGAAGCTTACTTAAGACTAAGAATAATATTTTTTTTTTAAAAATTTACAAAAATAAAAAGAAAAATCGTCTGATGTACGGCCTGAACATGTTCTTCGAGTCAAATGAAACGTGAGCATTGTTCATTGCTTTATCAACTTTAGGAAAGTGGCACGTGACAATTACATCGACTTTGAGTGAGTCGTTTTTAAAATACACGCTTTCCTAGAAAGTATACTTTAACACAATACAAAACACACACACACACACACACACACACACACACACACATATATATATATATATTCATGGCATTGTGGTGCTGGGGTGTCTGTGGATTACCTACCTCCCCGGGCAGCAGCTAGAAATGCCCTGTACCAGTTCTAAAGGAAATATGGGTTGTGTTTCTGCCTTTCCCTTCAACACGTAGCTAAGGTAGGGCTCACAGTGTGCTCATTCCCCACCACCAGATTGCCTGCAGGTTTCGCTGAGCTCTTCATGGCTCTAAGCATGGCCTAAGCATGAGTAGTGGGGGCAACTGGATCGTCCTATGTCTGGCCCTGATCATAATGACAGCATTAACCATCTAACAAGAAGGGACCAGGCCACCATCTTCAGACTTAGAACGCAACATACTCCACTCAATGGACACCTAAACAGAATACAGCCACAACACTCCCCAGAGTGCCAGCTATGTAACTACCCCTACGAAACTGTGGAACACCATCTCTTTGAGTGCCCAAAACTCAGTGAGACAAGACGAACGCTACTCCCTCCGAGACCAGACAAGTGGAACACGTTGTACGGAGGAAAAGAACAGCTTGTGAAAACATGCAAATTCCACTACATGGCATTGGGCCTAAGGGGGAAAGCTCATGCGCCGCTGGATCGATAACAACAACAATATATATATATATATATATATATATATATATATATATATATATATATATATATATATATATATATATATATATATATATATATATGTATATATATATATATATATATATATATATATATATATATGTGTGTGTGTGTGTGTGTGTGTGTGTTTTGTATATATATATATATATATATATATATATATATATATAGTGTTACATAATGTAATGAAAAATGAAATAGTATGGCATTACACGATATGATATAATATAATGTAATGTAAAGAAATTAAACGGCGACTATCAATTGCTCTTCAAAGACTAAAACAACTGAATAAATTATGGAATTGTACAGATAGAATTACAAAGGTCAGATTTTTAAGAGCATGCATCTTTCCCATTGCAACATACGCCTGTAAGACCTGGACACTTACTAAACAAGCGGAACAGCGCATAAATGCATTTGAATATAAATGTTACAGACAGGTTCTAAGAATATCTTGGGTAAAGAAAAGAACAAATGCATCCATACTTCAAGACCTGAATATTGAAGAGGGTTGGCTAGTAAAGACAATAAAACAAAGAAAATTGAAATATTTTGGTCACTTGAAACGTCATGGAAGTCTAGAGAGAACAATAATGGAGGGGTATATGCCTGGGAAGAGAGGAAGAGGAAGGCCAAGGAGAAGATGGGTGCAGGATGTGGCAGATGATTTCCAGATGGGTGTATCAGACGCAGGACATCTTGCTCAGGATAGGAAGGTTTTCCGGAGGGTTGTTATGGCAGCAAGGTTCCGCGAGGGACATGCTACTGAATGAATGAATGAATGTAAAGTAATAAAATATAATGTTTCTCTTTCAGCTGAGCCAGGTAATCCAGGAGGTAGCAGTTATATCTCCGAGACTACAACAATTAGGTATTTTTTGCATCTTCTACTACAGCTATCATTACACTGTTGGTGTTGCATTGTGAACAGTATCATTATTATTTGAATTCCCCGCCAGGGCTCCATGGGCGGGGGGAGTGGGGGAATGAATACTCTGCTGCCCTCTAACATGGAGTCGACTAAATTAGGCATGATTCCTTTGAAATCAGAGTACATCTGCCTAAGAGACAAGCAGCCGTCTGCATATAAATAAGCCAGATCTGGAAGAAAAAAAGATATGCGTGCAGAACACAGGTTGTAGAACTAGACTTGAGTCTGAAGGGGACGTACAACCAAAATATTCCGCTTGAATTCATAACTGGTAAACGATAAGAAGAAGACTATTAAAGAGTCTAATCTAGAATAATATAGAAAGAACTCCACAGAGGAGCATGTACAGCAGGAGTCTACCAATCATTAATAGAAGTGATTTCCCCGCAGACGAACCGCGGCCAGAGGAGCTTTGGGTCAACATGAATTGGAGACACTGTGACACAGTTGCGTCTTTCACATCCCCCAAGAATAGATGTGCCTAATTAGGAACTTAGTATATGATAGATACTGGTGGTAAGTTGATTAATTGTGTTTAACAACACAGCTAGTGATGAAACAGTCGAGTGGTTATAAGTTGTTTATTTAACAATATAATTTCTATCAATGCAGAAGGAATATATTCCATTTAAGCCCCAGTATAACATTCTAGTATCTTATTGCTGGCTATTCATATGTCTGACGATTAAGTTTTTTTTATCTCTTCTAGCAAAGCAAAACCAAAGTTTAATATCTTTCTTCTAGCGAAGCAGAGTCCTCGTCAGCCGCCCTCTCAAGCTTCTAGTCACTGACTGTCCCTTCTCTCCCCTCGCCCTTTTCCTCTTCTCACCCACCTCTTCTCTTTTCCCGGCGTGGGTCATCAATCACCATTTGTCACCCTTCATCCTGTTCTGTATTATCGATGACAGGAGGTTGTTTGCATTCCTCAATGCTCTCGTGATTTGTCTTATCTATCTGACACCTGCGTCTTTCCTCCTTGAGCACTTTTCGACCTCAGTCTCTCTAGTACATCTTCGTGTAGTCTGTCCCGACCAGCGTTCCAATCTAGTTTTTTTTTTTTTTTTTTTTTTTGCTTGCCCACTTATCATGCGTATACATCCGTCAATGTCAGATGTCACGGCTTTATTTGGACAAACGCACTATACTCAACTCTCCTAACCCTTTTTCATCACAACACCAGACCTTAAACTTTCCGATTAGCCTGCTACGCTTGATCGCGAGCAGGCCTGTAGCCAATGACTCATGTATTCGCCGGACCTCCGCTCTATCAGACAACTTCGAATCGTAAAAGCGCCCAGTGGTCTTCACCGGTTCCTCTAGATTCCTTGCCACCGTGAAACTGACCGCCGCCACCTTACCATTTAGGATTGACCGACTCCTCGACTTCTGCGGTTTGAAGTGCACATCGCATTTTTGGACAACGTTGTCCAATGTGTTCAAAATCGTGCGGGCATCATCCTCACTGCCCGTGATTATAGTCGTGTCATCCATAAAGGCACACAGTGGCGACATCATGTGGTTCCCGATCTGTAGGCCTTACCCGTAGCCGGCAGCCACGTCTAAAATGGCCTATAAATAAACAGGAATGACGTATACACACCGGAACCAACCAATAAAATATATTTCTTGAATGTTTGTGTATTCTAGACAAAGCATTAAGGTCTACTTTTGTTGTTGTGTTTGTTATTTGACATATGATTCGTTAATATAAATTTCTGTAATCTATGGTGCCATTTCGATGGTTTGAAATGAATTCTGTCCGTATTCCATAGTTGTGGATTTCAAGCTGAACGATAGATATGGCCAACAAAACACCTTTTTTGGGGGTGCCTAGTTGACCATGTTCTTAGTGCACTTGTATCCATGGCGAAGCACACACACCGTCTGGAGGTGACAGGTTCAATTCCCGGCACGGTTACCATAGCTTTCTATTTTTATGTTGTCTGTTGTGTTCTTCTATCTTTCTACTTCTTTCTATGAGTGCCGATCAATACACTTTCTGTTACTTGATTAATTTCTAAAAGGACCTGCATGGCCATAACGATAGTATTGGTGAGATCGAACACCCCATGGCTATCCCAACTTGGAGCTCAGTCCATCTCGTAGTAAACGTTGAGGTAGAGAAGCGCACAGCGAACTTTGAGAAATATTGCTCGATCATTTCAAATTATAATCGCGTGTTCAATGCACCCAGGGACGCCTGGGATTCCACCTTTTTAAGCAGTCGTATCGATGTATTTGTTCGCCATCAGATAAGGTGTGAGCCGGCGAGCCATAACCGAAAGGAATATTTTGCCCTCAGCATTCAACAGCGAGATAGGTCTGAATTGGGACAGACTCGTGGAGTCTCGCTCCTTGGGAGTGTAGACCATGTTGGCTCTCTGCCACTAGGCACATATGTGATTTCGGCTCCACGCTAATCTTAGCAAGCGGTGAATCATTTGGAAAATGTTGGGACAGCGCTTGCACACGACGTACAGAACACCATTCGGCCCTGGGGCGGACTTGCTGCTAGCTCTTTTCACAACTTCTTCTACCTCAGACCAAGAAGGAGGCATCATTTTAAATGGTACTTTTGGCAACTCTGGCTGCTTCAGGCCGCTGGTGATCTCTTGGTTGTCATTGAGAGGTTCATTTCTTTTTCCATCTGAGTACATCTTGCGTAGATGTGACTAAAGCTCCTCTTCACTGACCACCAGAGTCCCAGACTTTGGTTGCTCGAATAGACCTCGGTCAAACTGGAACGGGTCCCTAAAGAATTTCTCTCGCTTCCTTTTGGTTCTCCGTCTGTTGTTACAGAAACGCTCAGCGCGACAGAGGGCACTGTGTCTCTCAGGTGCACCTAGACCTCGTACAGCCCCTTCCCTTTGCTGCCCGTAGCGGCTCTGAACCGTTTTCTAAGTGCATTTTTGTCTGTTCTGCAATTCTCAATGTCCCATCGCCTTTGCTTTTACCTTGCGTGACTCCCTGCTGCGTCTTTTCGACTGTCCCGAACTCGCCGGAACAATGCTCGTATTTAAAAATATTAGCGATTATCACTGCTCCCTGTCTGTATGTTTTCGAAACTTGCTATATAACTATCTTGGTTATAATTATGTTATATTTGTCGCCTGCTGTTCGGGGAGCTGGCACCACTATACCCCAGACATTTTAGTGTGGGTTAAGGACGGACATTCTCCTCCGTCCCCAGAAAATATGTACCGGGCCTAGTCACTTTTTAGGGGGACCTGGTTGCCCAATTGCTAACCAATTCTAAAACTAAAGTTTGTTTGTTCGTTCGTTCCTTCATCCCACATTTATGTTCAACCTCTAAAAAAGATATAATTATGGAACCGGTAACGGCTACATCAGCCATTGTAACCGGTTGTCCTTTATGTATGTCTGTTGCAATATGCTCTGCTAGGGGTTTGTGTTGTTAAGCCACATTGCTTTCAGACGAACAGTAAGTTGTAACGACACAGCATGATCGAGTATTGAGTTGCGTGCCTTTATTCGTTGAATCGCCAATTATCGCATACATACATTCTCGCGTTCTCGTGCTCGTCTTGCTTGGCTGAATCTAGCGACCTGGTCAGACCTCACACACTACATGAATCCATCAGCGTCTCTCGAATCATCCATCTGTCTGTCTGTGTATGTGTGTGCATGCGCGCGCGCGCGCGCGCGTGTGTGTGTGTGTGTGTATGAATTACCAAAATGAAGATGAGAATCAATGAGGTACAAATCCGGTTTAACAAACGGTTGAAATGTTTTTATCCAGAGATAGGAATAAGGATAACTCTTGTTGATTCTGTTACAGAACTGAAATGTTCCAGACCCAGATGTGGGTTTTCTGCTTTGACGTGGACAAATAATGTTGCTGAAGGAGAAACCATAAGTCCATACAAGGACCTGTACTCCAATGTTGGTGGGAACTTTGATGCAAAGAGCGGGATATTCACAGCTCCAGTTGATGGACTCTATGTGACAGCTATTTCATTACGTCTCTCTGAGAACGAGGAGCTGACAGTTTATGTGAAACACAATAAGAAAGGTCTAGATCAAAGTTCAGCTACTGACGTGTGTCGGTGTTCAGCTACAGTAGAAGACACACATGCTTGTGACGTCAGCGTTCTTGACATGAAAGCTGGTGACACGTTGGTTTTATTTTTGGAGACAGACAACACTGATTATGAGAACTGTGTTTCCTTTTCTTGTTTTTTATTATCGTGAGCTAAATGTATCGATGTTCTCAATTTTAGATCCACCTGCTTGCTTTCTTGTGAAGTCCGTGGTAATATTCACTGTACAGCCAAGCGCAGTAGCACAGCCACCTGTTGATTATGTGTTTAAATCCCAGATATCATCATCATCATTCAGCAGGTCTTTTACAGAACGTCGCTCTCGTCATTGCAAGCCTGAAAGTCTCTATATTTCTCTCTAGCCAGCTCTCCCGTACTATGGGCTGTCACAACTAAAACATCTCCAATATCCTGATCCATCTTCACAAAGATCTGCCTCTGCCTTGTTTTCCAGAAACTGTAGCCTCCTCCGCCGTTCTCTCCAGACCAGGGTTACGTTTGACATGGCTAAAATAGTTCAACTTTCGTGGCTGGATGCTGTTGGTGAGCCAGCTCTCCTCAGTTCTCTCATCATATCGAACACAGAGTTTGGAACTGATCTACACTATCTGATCTACACTATCTGATCTACACTATCTGATCTACACTATCTGATCTACACTATCTGACCTACACTATCTGATCTACACTATCTGATCTACACTGTCTGATCTACACTATCTGATCTACACTATCCGATCTACACTATCTGATCTACGCTATCTGATCTACACTATCTGATCTACACTATCTGATCTACACTATCTGATCTACACTATCTGATCTACACTATCTGTTCTTTTTTGTATTCCTTACTGACTGAATAACCTTTTACAACTTTGCGTCAGGGTCAGTTTTTTTTTTTATATACATCCATACTTGTAAGTTGACACGAGTCATATAAATCCTACCCCGATATACGAAAGTGTATCATGAACCATTAGGTGATTGTTGAAACATTATTCACATGCTGCAGAGATGTCATTGAATAGACCAATGATGAGAATAAAATGGAGAGATAACAAATCAACAAGGAAGTCCTGAAAGAAACTGATTCACGAAGAGAAACGATTGACTTCATCAGAAGGAGACAATATATATATTAATGGCGAAAACTGGAGTATATCGTTATGATGGGAAAGATGAGAGGAAAAGATTCAGGAGAGGCGAATAGAGAAGATGTCGTACAGTTTGACATCACAGCCTAGAAGATAATCTGTGTCAGAATTGAATGAAAGTACACGGGACAGAAGGTTATGGATAGACATGACTACCAGCGCCACACAGCATGGCCTTTAGGAAGAAGACGGTAGAGTTGTACAGTAATGTGTTTATCCATTTCAATGGAAAAGTGAGAGCGGCGGTTACAGCATTTAGCTGTTGTGAAATTATGATTTACTGAATTTTAGATGCTGTCATGTATAAGCATGAAATTATGATTTACTGAATAAAATAACGACTGTATATTTAATCACATAACCGAAGGTGTTGAATTAGTTTGTTGTATATATAGTGATGAGTGAGGTTTTCATTAAAGTTACATGTACATTGTGTTGGTTGGTACTACCAGAGACGTTACACATTGAGTGGTTGATGAGACATTCAAATGCGAAACAAAAAGCAACAATAGTTCATATCTGTGCTTATATAGAAACATTCATCATCAAGTGTCTTGCCAGCTCGGGAGGTGACCACGCTTGTCCACATCTCGCGATCTCCAACAAAACGTTTCACTTTGTTCTCTGACAGCGCAACAAATTTAGGAACTGTAATCAGGACAATGCTAGCAAGCTATATGGAACCAGTTTCAACATAACGGCTGTGTAGTCTAGGCAATTAATAAACTACCCGAAACATAAGTTGAGACCTCAGAGGTTTGGTTTTACAAATTCATCCTTCGAAATCCTTGGACAGCTGAGAAGAGCAACCAAGATGTTTTGAAAAAGGCAAGTGCTTTAAGACAACTTATCACAAACATCAGAAAGGGACAATCATCATTTTTTTTGGTCATGTTATGAGAAGAGGGAAAGTGGAATATGTTGTGACCACTGAAAAGTTCTGTGGAAAGAGAGACACAGGAAGGCAGCGTGAGAAGACTCTTGACAGTGTTTTATCCTGGCATGGAGGGATGTCAGCACACAAACTGATACACACAGTTACGGATCGCCGATTGTGGAGAGGCATGGTCGTCCAGTCGACAAGGCACGTGATGATGAATCGGAGCAAAACGAAACGAAAACAGATAAATAAAAGTTCCTAGACGTCAACGCTGTCCTACCAGTGTGGATTTGGTGGTGGTGGGAAGGGGGAATATGGGTGTGGATGGGGGAGGGGGATATGTGTGTGGATGGGTGATATGTGTGTGGATGGGGGAGGGGAGAATATGTGTGTGAATGGGGGAGGGGGGATATGTGTGTTGATGGGGTAGGGAAGAATATGAGTTAATGGGGGAGGGGGGATATGTGTGTGTGGATGGGAGAGGGGGATATGTGTGTGGATGGGAGAGGGGAATATGTGTGTGTGGATGGGAGAGGGGGATATGTATGTGTGGATGGGGGAGGGGGATATGCGTGTGGATGGGGGAGGGGGATGTGTGTGTGGATGGGGGAGGTGGGAATATGAGTGTAGATGGGGGAGGGGGATATGTGTGTGGATAGGGGGATATTAGTGTGGTTGGGGGAGGGGAGAATATGTGTGTGGATGGGGAAGGGGAGAAATTGTGTGTGGATGGGTTAAGGCGATAGGTGTGTGGATGGAAAGGGGGATATGTGTGTGGATAGGGGAGGGGAGAATATGTGTGTGGATGGGGGAGGGGAGAATATGTGTGTGGATGGGGGAGGGGGGATATGTGTGTTGATGGGGGAGGGGAGAATATTTGTGTGTGTATGGGGGAGGGGATATGTGTGTGTGGATGGGGAAGGGGAGAATATGTGTGTGGATGGGGGAGGGGGATATGTGTGTGGATGGGGAGGGAAGAATATGTGTGTGGATGGGGGAGGGGAGAATATGTGTGTGGATGGGGGAGGGGAGATTATGTGTGTGGATGGAGGAGGAGAGAATATGTGTGTGGATGGGGGTGGGAGAACATGTGTGTGAATTGGGGAGGGGAGAATATGTGTGTGTGTGTGGATGGGGGAGGGGAGAATATGTGTGTGGATGGGGGAGGGGAGATTATGTGTGTGGATGGAGGAGGAGAGAATATGTGTGTGGATGGGGGATGGGGATATGTGTGTGGATGGGGGATTGGGATATGTGTGTGAATGGGGAAGGGCGGATATGTGTGTGAATTGGAGGGGGAGGAGGGAGAATATGTGTGTGGATGGGGGAGGGGAGAAAATGTGTGCGGATAGGGAGAGGGAGAATATGTGTGTGAATGCGAGGGGGAGGAAAGAGAATATTTGTGTGGATGGGAGGGGGAGGAGGGAGAATATGTGTTTGGATGGGTGAGGGGTAATATGTGTGTGGATGGGAGGGGAGAATATGTGTGGGTATGGGGGAGGGAGAATATGTGTGTGGATTGGAAGGGGAGGAGGGAGAAGATGTGTGTCGATGGGGGAGGGGGATATGTGTGTAAATGGGGGAGGAGGGAGAATATGTGTGTGGGTGGGGTAGAGGGAATATGCGTGTGGATGGGGGAGTGGGGATATGTTTGTGGATGGGGGAGGGGGGAATATATGTGTGGATGTGGGGGGGGGGAGAAAAACCTAGTGTCCCCTAACAAGCATGCCGTGAAAGGAGACTCATAAGAGATATTTCTTTCGAAATCGTGGTGTATCTGCCTGCAAAGGTAGGCTCCAACAGTCTGCAAGCACATAAAGCAAATCTGATAAACGGATGTTCTGGCGATCGTCAAGTTCCGGAAGAAGACGAAAGTCTAGAAATGGCCGAGCAATCAGAACTTTACATCCGGTGAAAGCTAAGTAGAAGAATGAACTGGTCCCCTCATAAAACTGAGGAAAAGATATCATTCAATAATGGCCAGCTGGAGTATAAGAGTCACAAGTTAAGGCTCCCTTTCTCCAGACGCATGAATCATTGATACTATAGTCCATTCAAAAAGTCTTGGCCAACTTTCGGTAGAAACTGTAGACATTTGGCATGCAACCTGTTAATAACCATGTCATTGTAGAAGAATCAGTATTATATATATATATATGTGTGTGTGTGTGTATGTGTGTGTGTGTGTGTGTGTGTTTGTGTATATATATATATATTTTAAAAAAGTGAAGATCCCTTTTCACGCCTTTCGGCGCATCGGGCATATGGGCAGAGCGCCCATATTTTTACAGACCATCAGCACTCTGTGGGTAATGTGGTCAGCATTACGTTGGCTGTCTTTACTTTCCCAGGACAGCCCATCCTGGTACCCATTTTAGGCTGGGTCGACCTGCGACGTCCCATACCACGACAAAAATCCACGCAGCCTGCAGTGGGTTTCGATCGCGGTATGCTGGCTTACGAATCGGACTCGCAACGCCTTAGCCACGGACTATATATATAAAATATTAATTTTCGAAACATCTTATTGCACGCTTAATCTGTGCGAAAAAACCAAAGTTACGCATTTAGTAAAAAGTCATGTACTGTCATAATCACATTTACATAACTGTAACTCATTTCGTACGCGTCTCATTCTCGGGTGGTCAGTCTTCTGGATTAGCTTCCTGTGAATTATATGAACGCAATATTTTATTGAATGCGGGATATTCTTTCAAAACAATCATCACACACATTTCTTCACGTTTTTTAGGGCTACACAAATTATTACTCCAAAAAGATGAAAGAAGATCGTTGCTTTAAGAAATGAGAAGCAGCTGTGCAACTCTAAATGATAAAATCGTAATCGTATGGAGAAACAAACACCACGTGCAGAAAACTGCTATTGATCCGCACGAGAGTTTTCTAAATATTTATTTCAGTGAAAATATCTCACGACTTTTGACAAGAATTATATCAGTTTGTTTTCTAACAGTACATAGTGTGTAAAAACTATAAGTGTGACGAAACGAAACAAAATTATGTGTGACACTTCCAAGAGGTAAATGTATAACACCCTTAACATAAAGGCCAGGAAACTTTGACACTAAACAACGGCCAGCTAGACTATAAGAG